TATGTCTTTGATGGATTAGCTTCTTTGATCTCTAGCTTGACAGATATGAGCACAAAGTCTTTTGGGCCTTACTCTGTGGATTTAATCATAAATATTATGATTTTATATCTGAGCTATAACAATCACAGCAGGACATGGAGTAAAGAACCAGAATTATAAAGTGATCAGATAAAAATCATGGACAAATAAATATGCTTATTGTTAAAAAAAAAATCAAGGGTATATTATTCATTGCCAAGTATTTTCTTATTTATCAAATATAGAGTTTTGTAATAAGATTGGTACTCTCTCGTTATCTGCCCAACTCTCTCACAAAGCTGTCAGTTGTCCGCAGCTAATTTTTCACCTAATATATGAAAAACAGTAGCCATTTAAAAAAATGGAGGCACTTTGAAAATTAAATAGCAACAAATCAAGAAAATTAAAGCAAGAAACATTCACTATGAAACAGAAAAATTCCATAAAACAAATATCGTTAATAAAACATTCAAGTTTCATAAAATGGTTATAAATTAACTAAATTTAAGATGCAACAAACATCCATAATAAAACACTTTCTATTTTCTCAGTCTTGGTGCTTTCTCTCAGTCTCAGTCTCTCTGTGTGCATAGCAATCTGTTTTAACATTAAAAAAAAAGAGAGAGAGAATTGCAGATCAAATTTGCACTGCTCTGTGTGAACAAAAACATCAACTTGTTTTAACTTTTAAAAAAGCTAGAGAATTGTAGAAATTAACTTCAGGAAATGTGCATTTCTGCACTCCATATTAGTAGGCAAAATGCCATTATTCTGAAGAAAAAAAAAAGTAACACTTTCTTTTTCATTAACAGGCACATAGTGTGGCATTATGATTCATTGCAAGGGGGGAAAACTCCACATATTAATTACAAGCATGACCCTCAAATTTCAAAACCATGTAAATTGCTACCAAGATAGATCACAGTATTGCATGCTGGCATAATGAGTGCTGATCCACTAATGGGTTACCAAATATATACATTTTCACAAAATTCTGGTTCACCTACTTTGGCAGTATATCCCTTTCTCCAGTGATTTTTGCCAAAGCATAATGGAAGAGTACCAAATGATTTTGAATGATTTACTTTGGTTGTGTTGTCACAACACAGATATTCCTTGAAATAAAGATATAGGAGATAATTTAATTTTATTTTCTAAAATAGTCTCATTCTGCTTTGGTAATTTTGATATGCTGCATGTAGATTTGATAAAGGATTTCCCCTTTATAAAAAATAGGATTTTACTTATAAAACTGTGTAAATAAATAATTTGTTTTCTTTTACGTCATTGTTTAGTTTTGCTGATGATTAAAATTATGTATGCTTGATATATTTATTATTTGACAGTATAGTACATAAAGCATTGAAAAGACTTCAGGCATACATGTTGTTGCTAACTTTATGGGTAGATTGAAAAAATAAATCTGTAGTCTTTTAATTTTATAGTTAAATTGTTATTGACAATAAAACAATTTTAAAGCTGTTAGTTAAGTAACTTAGAGTAAAGGGCTGCTGTTATGCATTGTTGGTTTATAATACATTTTAGTATGAATAAAATGACTGAAGTAGAAAAGGAAGAGAAAATATTATACAGTGAAATACGTTTAATGCAAAAACGCTTAAGAGGAAATATGGGTTAACACGAAATAATACAAAGATCCCAACAAACTGCTATGTATTTTTGTGCATTTTTTTTTTTTTTTTTTTTTTTTTTTTTTTTTATTTTTTTTTTTACCATGAAACGAAACCCGAAAAGATTTCTATTCTGGGAATGAATAAAATGCAGAAAACATCAGCCGCACAGGCAAGATTTAACCCTTTCAGGATGGGCGTCCCATATACGCATTCCCTAAGAACGTCTCTTACAGCCGGGCGTCCCATCCACGCATCAGTAAAGATCGCATTCAGAAGACGGGTGATGCGTATACGCATTTTAAGGTGGGACGTTTTTCTGAAGGCCACTAGATGGCATCCTGTGTCCATTACTTTTGAAATGAACACAGTTTTAGGTTCCTGACCTTGAGTTTGATATATTTTGCTTGACTTTGGTATATTGCTCATCAGCAGCTGTTCGAGGGTGGGGGTGGGCGGAGGGAAAGCGTAAACAGAGGTGGGGTCTTTAAATCGCTGCGTGCTAATGAAAACATTCTCGTGTCTGATTTATATCCAATTCCTTTTTTTATTCTATTTTTTCCTCTACTATGTACGGTCTTTTAGGGTTACCGTGCGGAGTTTTTTACGTTTTGCATTGCCTTCAGATATATTTCTGTTCCTTCTTTTTTTATTTAGAAAAGCCTCACCTCCAGTCTATTATGGCGGGAAGGCGCTATTTATCAGAGGAAGAATACCCTCGTATGGTTAGTGAACCATTTACTAACGCAAATGAGAATACTGATTCATTTTGTAAAGAGTTAAAAAGTGATACTTTTTCTAAGAGTTACAAAGTGATACTTCTCTGTGCTTCGAGATTTACCACACTCGTTTTCATTTTAAATTTTGTTACTTGTTACTGTAAATAGTCTTTATTGTGTTCTTTTTATTAATTTTAAATTTTATTGATGGATTTTATCAGTTAAAACTTTGGAATAATTTGAATAGAGCTTCCGAAAATTATTTTAGAAGATAAGCAATTTTTAAGTATATTTTTATGTAAAATAAAGAAAAAAATGTTTTAAGGTCTAATTTGAATATATATAAGAGCTCAAGTAATAATCTAAAATGATACTAAAAATTACGATGCTAGAAGCAAAACTTTTGTTTTTCTGATTTTCGTTATAAAATTAGGCTTAGGAATGCAAAACCTCTGTCCTGTACGGTGACTGCCTTCGATTCTCTTCCATCCCGCACGAGCGCCTTAAACAAAGGTGCGCCATCGCAAAAAGGTTAAGAGGGGTGTAAAGTAAAAAAGAGGTGGTTTTGCATGTTTCGTAGAAAGAAGGCTAACTTGGCTTTGAAATACCCTCGTAACAGCCTGTAACATGAGCCAATTTTGTTTATCTAAGCTAATTTCACCCTCCATCCCTACAATAGCCATACAAAAACATCTCATCTCTCATCAGTTGGCTTTGGAATTTCATGAACAGTACATCACAGCATGTGTAAAATTCACCGAATTTGGTTTGCATCCAACGAAATGGTTCTCCATTTCTACAGCCCCAATTCTGACAGATAAGCACAGTTTGGAGTTTGTTCAAAGCTAAAAAATATCATTGATGAAGATTACGATTATGAAAATGAAATGAATAATGCAACTCCTGTTTCCATGTCACCCGAAATGAGGAATATCGTGAAAAGTATGTGCAGTTATTTTCAGACGCACATTTCGATGAGGAAATGAATAACAAAATGGACGCCATTGAACAATTTGATACTAAAAAGACAATGCAAAGAAAAATATCAGGTTATTTTTCAAAAACTCAATAATTGTTTGGTTTTTCAAAAAAACTTGAAAATTTTGTTTTAGTCTTAGTTAAAGTTCTTGTGGATGTTTTTGTTTCATTGGTTTTTATTAAATTCATGCTTATGCATATATCTATGTAAATAAAATGTACTTAATAAACTTAATTTTGTTGATTTACCCCCCCCCCCCCCCCCCCCCCCAATATCCTTAACACAAAATTCTTTTAACACGAAAAAAATATATCAGTCCTCTCAGTTTCGTGTTAAACAATTTTCACTGCAGTACAAAGTCTCTAATCCGGATGTCCATTATTCAGAATGATCTATAATCTGGACCTCAAAGCCACAAACTTACGCATGCACATTTGATGCGTCCGCTACGCATGCATATAAAGCCAGTAAAGCATTTACCCATGCGCACTTCCGATAGTGAAGAAAGTAACAGAGACGTTATTGAAAACAAAAAATTTCAATTGACAAGTTAGTTGGTATTCTCGACACAGCAATTACAGGACTTGAACGGTGGAACTTTGTAACTGAACAAGAAATTATGTCTGTTTATAGAATTAAAGAGAAAATATTAGCACAAAAAAAGAAGCAACTTAAACAACTTACGTTGATAGAAATATTTACTAAAGTAAACAAATAAATATTAAGCTTTTTTTTTTTTTTTGTAAATTTTGATACCCTTTAGATCATAATTCCTCTTTATTTCATAAATTACGGTTTCATATTTTTAATTGTATTATTTCTGCATGCCATCTTACTAGATTTAAATTGATGATCTATAATCCGGAAAAACCTCTAATCCGCAATCGCTGAAATCCCGACGATTTCAGATTACAGACTTTGTACTGTATATGTTTTTCAAAAATTTTCATCTAGTTATGATTTTTGTGTATTATATTATTAAGTGGCTTCAGAAATAGTGTTTACAAAGTAAGCCTCACAAAAGGGTGGGGAGAATATTAATTTCAAGTACAAAAATATCATATTTTACATATAAGTAAAATTATGAATTTATAAAGATAGATAAATGGGAAAAGAGAAATATTTTATCAGAATATTCGCAAATTTAAATAAAAATATTCAACTCAAAATAAACATCTATTTATAAACAAGTAAATATTTTCATTTGAAAATTCAGAGAACAAATATAAAATACTTTCAATAATGTGAAAATTCTCAGAAGTTACAATTTGTCAAGAATAAAATAACCTCGGTTTCTCAGTTACTAACTATTAAGGTAAAACCATGATTCAATGTCAGTTTATTCAAGAAACTTCCTTGATTCTTTTATGTGCATATTTATTCTTATACGCATTGTTGGCCTATTTCTAACTAATATTTCAAATGTAACAAAACAGTTTGATGCTGCAAGGAAAACTCATAGGAGATTTTTAGTTTAATTACAGTGTAATGGTTGATATTATAAGATTTGTATTTATAACCATTTTTTCTGATTATTAGTAGCTGTAACAGTTTGTTTTTTCAATTGTATTTCAAATTAACATTTTACTGTTTTGAATGATACAAATATTAAAGTTGCTACTATAGATATTATATTATTTATCCTTATTCAAGGACTGTTAATCGGTATAGTAAAAGAATCAAAAAAGCTTTGGACCGAACTATTGAAAGGAAAGCTAAGCAAATATTACGAAAAGCTTCAGTTGAAAAACCAAAACGGGAGTCTGAAAAAAGTGTCTTAAAAGGAGATTTATTTATTGGAGAACTTCAGGACATATGGAGTAAAGGTGAGAATAGTTTTCTATTTTCTATACCTATCATTTCTATCAAATAGAGAGGGACAGAATAATTGAAATCAAAGATGTTGGTTGGTTCATCACTTCGGCAGATAAATGCTCATTTTGGCCTAAATGTCAGTGCTGTTCAGTATTGTGTATTCAAATGGTTCTGAGAATATTGATGAACTTGGATAGCTGCAAGTACTAGCCAGATGTGAACTTCTACCTAGATGGATCATCAAATTAGTAGAATGTGTGCAGAAACATCAGAAGGCACATGCACGGTCTAGCAGATATGTGCAGTTGCCTATGACATTGTCCTCAATGTTTTTTGTTGTGAATAAACATTACCTTTTTAAACAACAATGTACAGTCTTAATCATAAGTATTTTACCTGAATTTGTATCACTTCAGTCCATAAATCAAATAGTTTTCATTATTCTCTGCTTAAAGGACTGTGGCTTAAATGCAAAAAAGTTTTTAATGCAGTTTTTGATATTATTAATGCTTGGAAAGGGCTGGCCAGAAAGTTTGTGCTGTAGAGACGTAAACAAATGATAATCTGAAGGAACAAGATCAAGTGAATGTGCCACATGTGGAAAAACTTCCCAGCCTAAATTGAAATTGTTCCTTTTGTAGAAAAAGAGGTATATGGGCAAGTATTATCATGTAACGATATGATTTATTGTGTTCCTTAGTCTGTAAAAAAATGCTTCTCCTTGATTGTTTTACTCAAATGGAGTAATATTTCTGTCACATTCGGCATTGATAGTTTCATCAAATTTTAGCAAAATTTAGGTGTTCGCTGATAACGTCGCGGAGAAAACAACACAAGGCGAAAATGTTGTGCTACAAAACATCGCAAAGAGAAAACATTGCAGTTCTAAAACATCATGGTACAAAACATCATCATCGAAAATAAAAGCAGTTCAAAAACTCCACAGTTTAAAAACACCACCGTCGAAAATATCGTGGTAAAAAATAAAGTATCTACAATTCATCGCACACATGCTTTTTTCAGGTTTTTATAATTATAAATGGATATTCCCATAATGATTTGTGAGCGCAAGATGTAAAGAAGGATAATTTTTACTTTCCTATTTTTTTATTTACTAATAAATTTTTTCTGAAAAAGTAAGAAGGAAACTTAAGCATAGAAAATTAAATGCAACTTGTAGATTATACTTTTCATGAAAATTACCAGTAAAAACTTTATAAAAATGTTTTATTAATGGCCTTTGTCTGTTAACTATGTCGGTTTAAAATTCTATTAAGTGCTATAAGTTGCATTAATTTTCTATGCTAAAGTTTCCTTCTTATTTTCTCAGCAAAATTTATTAGTTAATAAAAAATATGAAAGTAAAAATTATCCTTCTTTCCATCATGCGCTCACAAATCATTATGGGAATATCCATTTACAGTTATTCAAGCCTGAAAAAAGCATGTCTGTGATGTTATCGTCATGCGATACTTTATTTTTTACCGATTTGTAGATACTTTATTTTTTACCACGATATTTTTGACGGCGATGTTTTTGAACTGTGAAGTTTTTGAGCCGCTTTATTTTCGACGACGATACTTTGTACCATGATGTTTTACAACTTGATGTTTCTCCCACGATGTTTTGTAGCACAACGTTTTCGGCTGTAACCACGTAACAGGGCACACTCTTCATATCCTACCAGATACATAAAGAAAAACGTTTTGCCATGGATATTTGTTTTAGTGATGGAAATGATGGTTGACCAGGATTTAACTTCAGTTATTGATGTTTAGGGTTATCATATTAAACTCACTTTTCATCTCCTGTTCTGATTTTCCACAGAAAAATCTTTCTTTTATGGAGAGCAAGAAATGACTTACAACAATGCAATATTGAGTAGCGCTGTAAGCTCATATAGGGTTCATTTGCCTGCTTTCTGTATCTTGCCGAATGCATTCAGATGTGAAATGATTGCCAGATGATCATCTCTAAGCTTCGTGCCCAGTTCTATTGCTGTTTGGCACATATCTTCTCTGAGTAGTGCTTCTGGATCTTTGTTTTTTAATTCTTGTGATCTTCCACTTCTCAGCTTGTCTTGCACATCAAAATCTCCCTTCTTGGAATTTGCAAACAATTCGCTCACCATACTTGTGCCAATGCTTTTGTCACCATATGCTCTGTTGATTGTTCTTTTGGCTTCTGCAGCAGATTTTTCTGGATTAAAAAGGAATAGTGTGCAATGTCGAATGTTTATCTTGTGGGAGCCAAGCCAAATAAACTATGAACTCATTTTATGAAGCAACTAAGTGTCAGACTATATATCTCTGGCAAGTTCCTTATTCCCTCTCCTTAAATAGTTTTATAGAGTTGCTTAAAGATTGTACTGGAAACTTTTCCACATACCTAATATGCTTCATTGTGACCACATTTAAATGCTATCATGCTACATATCTGACTTTTAATAGAGGATTATCCTCTTCAGCCAATGAGTCTTTCATCTGTCTCAGAAGCAGTGTTGGTCGGAGATTAGTCTGGATACCAATGGTCAGTGCCATTAACAAGTCTTCAAGAGAGAACATCATTAAAAAAATGTGGAGGACATCATAATATATGGTAGACAGGTCTGTCTTCCATTGAGCACATGTAGGGAATCATTGGTCAAAGATCTAGTAATATTAATACTTTACCTACTTAACGGCTTCCAGTGAGGCAAACCTTATCTCCAAAATGATTATTGATCTCGTTTATGGTATGCCAAAGCATGTATTTCTAATTGAATAAATTAAGATAATCTGAATACTTTGTTTGATCATTTGAATGTGATTAACATTAATCTTGTGAATTTCAAATTTCTGTGGTCTTTTGGTTGTTGCCATTTTAGTCTCTTTATGCCTGACATTAAGAAAATTGCATGCCTATGATTTTGGAGTGTCGAACGTTAGTGTGTAGTTGAGTGTATTTTGCAGTTAAGCTTAACATGCAAAAATATTTCCTATAAAGTCCTCTTTTTATTGATATTATGTTTTTTAATATAAACAGAAACTGTAATACTTAAAAATTAAAAATAAGTTAATATATAATATCAATAATAGTAATCGTATATATATATATATTATTTGTGTATAATAATGAAGTAAAAAACTTAGTGCCTGTTGTATTGTGCTGCCATATTTAGTATGAAATTTTAAAATGCTTGCACTTCACAGTTTTTAAATTCTGAACGTGCATTGTAAGCATCATGCATTTTACATTTATAGAACATTCAAGAGATTTTATTCAATAAGTTTTTACAGCATTCTGACGTAATTTATGTGCATTCAGATTTTGAAATGAAATGTTCCATTTCAGCATATCGTATATTATACAATGGGCCACTAGTTACTCTTTGCTACCACATCACATTTGATATGGTGAGCCCACAAAGAAAAAATGAAGCTTAATATATGTATGACGTGCTGAGAGCAAAGAGGTTAGGAAATATTAACAAAATTTTTATTTTGTGAAATATTTTACATATTTAAAAGAATTTTGTGTCAGTTTCATAACATATGGCAATAGAAACTCTTTTATTAAATACAACAAAGGTGCAGATATTCGGGAAAAAATGCTAGTTGAATGTATTGTAAATTAAATGTATTTTAACTTATTTAAAAGAGGAAAAAAAATGTTGAAGATTTAAGAAGAGCAGTTATTAGTTTGAAATTATCAGTAGATTATTATAAGTAAAATTTGAAAGATAAAATTAAAAATCTTATGCATCACTGAATGGCAACAATTTGAGAATGTCCTTTAAAAGTATATATATTTTGCACAGTGGCAACACATGGCAAGTTACATGTGTGATAAATTGATAAATGCTGCTTCTTCATTTGCCAGACTTTGGGGCATAGTCATATCTGCTGATTCAATTTTGCAAAGACATGATTTTGCATATAAATTGAAAACAGCAGGCCTATTTCAAAGTGTAAAAATATTTTATTTATTTATTTATTTATTAGGGATGAACTGATTACTAGGAAGGTTTCATATTATAGCAAAAATTATAAAGACTATTCTTATTTTAATAACTGTATCTTTTTATATATGTGTAAACAATCAAAGTACTGTTGATTATATTGCTTGAAACTTCACATTAAATTCTCAGAAGTACACTCATGTCCATAAATTAAGGATAATTCGAAGTCACGTGGAAATCGAACTCTAAAATAAATATATCACCTGTAAAATCACTACACACATCTTCAAGAATCATATGCACATTTCAGGAAGTAACCAGATGACACCGATGGTACGTCACAATGACGAGAGTGTAAGAGATATATAAGGAATACAGGCAAAGAAGTAAAATTGTGCACAGGTGCTTTATAAGCATTTTAGTGCAATAAACGAATAGTTATGACACAAAGGACGCATTTGGATGATTTTTTACGTGGTAGAATTATCTGCCATCTGGAATGTGGTCGTAGACAACAGGAAGTATCAGACGAACTTGGAATTGCCCAGAGTGTCATTTCCAGGCTTTGGCAACGATTCCAAGATGATGGTAATGTGAGTAGACGTTACAGCACAGCTCGCTCCAGAGTTACAACGCCGAATGAGGACCGGTATTTGGCAGTTACTGCCAAAAGAAACAGGCGGAGCACAGTCTCAGACCCGTCTTGTGAGCTCTTTTCACCCACTGGTACGACAATTTCAAGGCAGACCGTGTACAGACACTTAGGCCAGATTGGTCTATATGCTCGTAGACCTGTCAGATGCGTTCCACTTACTGCAACTCACTGTTGCCTGCGGTTAGCCTGGAGTAGAGAGCATGCATTGTGGACACCACAACAGTGGGCTTGTGTGATGTTTTCCGACGAGTCCAGGTTGCAGTCTGATTCTCACCGGACTTTCATATGGAGAGCTCCAGGTACCCGTTACCACCAAGAAAACATCATTGAACGACTACGTTACAGTGGTACAGGTGTGCTCGTTTGGGGTGGAATTATTCTGGGTTCCAGAACTGACCTGCATGTTCAAATTGGAACCATGACAAGCCAAATCTATCGGGACGTCATTCTGAAACAACATGTACGTTGTTTCGGGGCGCCATGGGCGCACAATTTGTGTTTATGGATGACAACGCCCGTCCTCACCGTGCAAACATTGTAAGCGAATGCCTTCAATCGGAGGATATCACCTGTATGGACTGGCCAGCATTCTCACTGGACTTGAATCCAGTAGAGCACGTGTGGGACATGCTTGGCTGACGAGTTGCAGCTCATCAATCTCCTCCTACATGTCTACCGGAACTTCGGAGAGCATTGTTTTTGAGTGGTGTAATATCCCCCAAAGTCAGATCGATAATTTGATACTCAGCATGCCTAGGCATTGTATGGACTGTATTGCATCGTCTGGGAGACATACAATGTATTAACGATCATACCAACCATGTAATATTGGTTTTTTGTAAATAGGGTTTTTTTTGTAATTTTCTCCAGGGAGAAAAAATCTCTTAATTTTTTTAATAATATCAAACATATAGCATCTTTTTTTGCTCTTTACCTTTTGTTTAATAAATAAGCTTTACAAATAAGTCAAATTTGTTTTTCTTCTAACTCTTCCTTTGCCTGATTTAGCATTATCCTTAATTTATGGACATGAGTGTATATGAGGATACAGGATAAAGTGCAGGTTAAGAAGTTTCATTTTCAACAGATATCAATTTAACACGAAACGAGAGCTTCATAATTGCTTTTTTCCTCCTCATTCTGTAGACAAAGAAGATGTAGATCCAGAAGTTGAAGACTTAGTACAGTATCGTGATGAAATTACTAAGAAAAGAACTCCAAAGGTAAATATAGAATTTGTAATTATAAGGATCAGTTTAAAAGACTATAAATAATACTAACATACAAAAAATTATAAGTTTTTTATTTGATAAGCAGCGGCCACAGGGATTTATTGTCCACAACTGTTCACACTTTAGTGTTTTCATAGAGGCTTTGCTTGCAAACAGCATCTGTGAGTTGAATCGGAAGTGTAATGCGAGAGACCACATAGTTTTGGGAACAGAATTTGAGTTGTTTCATGAGTGTGAAATACTCTACCTCATCACAAAAGAGCTCTTCGGTGATAATTCAAGTAACTCAACTCTCTCAAATTTGCAAACATTGGTTGGCTCTATAGGCCACCATAGACCCTCCCATAGTATCTGTATGCTAATGAGGAAGTACAACTTGTTGCTACGAGGGCAATCCCAGAAAAAAGGTCTCCTATTTTTGGGGGACATAGAGAAAGTTTTAATACGGTTGTTTTCAACACTGTTGTGAGTGGTGCCTTCTCCGCTACCACATAAGCACGCAGGCGCTTCTCTCGGATCCTCAGTCTTGGCTTGGCAGCCATTCGAAATGGAGCTCCCGATAAACGTTACCGCCAAGTGCGAAGTGCGTGCAGTTATTCAATTTTTGAACGCAAAAGGCGTTAAATCGGTTGAAATTCACCGCCTATTGACAGAAGTGTATGGACAGTCATGCATGGATGTCAAAAACGTTCGCAAGTGGTGTAGAGAGTTTACAGCCGGTCGTAATGAAATTCATGACGAAGAAAAGAGCGGTAGGCTGTCAATTGCCTACGAGACAACTCAACTTTCACGATTGTTGAGTTCATATTCATTGATTTTCGCGATTGTTGAGTTCGTAAAATGCGTAAAGATCGGAGGATCATTTGGATGCTCCTGAAGCTCCTCAACGCTTCCTGAAGGGTATGGCGGCAAGCTGGTATGACACGGGCATTGTAAAACTGCCACAGCGTCTACAAAAATGCATCTACCGAAATGGCGATTATGTTGAAAAATAAAGCATTCTGCAATCTTTAAAGTGATGTAGCAATTATAGAAAATAAATGGTTCTTTGTATATCTAAAAATCTAGGAGACCCTTTTTTTTTGGGATTGCCTTCGTATATTTTGAGCCTTATGTCTGATGTGGTTGATTGTTGCTGTGGTGGACTGTGTTTAGCTTCATTCATTGAGCGTGTCTAGTTGGGCTCATTAAAGATTTGTGGAGCGAGGCACCGTGGGTGGTGCAAGTGATGTAGTTTGTTAGTTTTTGCCAATTGGATGGGTGGAGGAAGTACATGGTGTACAGGCAGCCCATGGAGCCAGCCAATGCTTGCAAATTCAAAAGAGTTGAATTACTTGAATTCCTCACAGAAGAGCTCATTTGTGACAAGGTGAGTATTTCACTCCCACGAAACAAACTCAAGTTCTGTCATTCGAAGCCAACACAGTGTCTCGCATCGTATTTCTGGTTCGACCTATAGATATAGCCACGCCTGTGCTAAAACACCATAGCTCTGAGCCATAAATCAACTCCTACCCTGTGACCGCAGCAGCTATTCTGATCATTATGAATGCTTAAGTAATGAATATTTGTGCGTAGGTTCCGTGTCATCGGTATCAGAAACCATCTCTTTTACCTCCAGTTGAAGTGCCACATGCAGGAGCTTCATATAATCCTTCTTTTGTTGATCACCAAGTAAGTTTTATACTTTTTTTTTTTTTTTCAATTTATTATTTTGAGCTTTAATTGATTAACCGTGCTTAATTTTAAGTATTTGGTTAGGTTGAGATCTCCTTGTCAGTCAGAATATTGCTTGATGAAGTCAAGGGTAAATTAAACGTAAATGCTAACACATAAACTATAAAAAAAAGCAATGTGAATATGAGAGCACAAAATTATATTCTTAGTTTATATCTAATATGTTTAATTATAACAATAATTTTTAATACTCTTAAGAAAGCTACTTGTTCCAACTTTTGTGAACAAATAGTTGTCTCATCCATTAGGATCTTTTGCAAGAAGCTGTAAAGATTGAAGAGAAAAAACAGAAAGAAGAATTGCATTTAAAAAGGGTTTTAACAGATATGTTTCCCACAAAGGCTGAAGCACCTACGCCTGTAAGTATTCATGTCATCATAGGTTATATGCTAACTTTTCTGAAAGTATTAAAATATGCACATTGTTTTGTATACATTTCTCTGTTTGTTCATTTAGAGCAAAATGCATGAACTGTTAGCTTTTTCAAACAAAATCTTATATATTTCCTTATTCCTTATTATTTGGAAAATGTAGTTAAAGATCTTAATATAAATACATTTAATAAAATTAATTTATTGTAAAAGTTAATGCTTTAGAATTATTAATATGATTTTAACCATTTTCTTATCATACTTCTATGTGTGTATATATATATTCTACTGTATATTATATCTGTGTTATGCATTTAAAAAAGTAATGAAAGATGTCAATAATATTCCATTGAAATATCATAAAACTTGCTATAACAGAACATGTTTGTTTTTCCTTTAAAATCTGATGGTAGGAATCCATTTTAAAAGAAATGTCGCAAGGTTTGTTTGAAGGGGAAGATCCTGAAGAAGAAGTGTCAGAATCATTATATACAACAAGAAATCCTCCAGTAAAGCCAGAAGATCGCCTTCCTAAATCTCGTAAAAGAAAAAGAAAAGAATTAAAAGAACAAGTAATAAGTTTATTATTTTTCATTTGGCCTTATTACATTCTTATATCTTCCTCATCCTGGCTGAAATATATTTTTCATCTTTTCTTGTTTTTGAATTATATATTATAATCATTGTTTGAATGAGAAGAAATGAATGGAGTAAGCATTTATTGCTATGAATTTATTCTGTTTAAATGTTTGTTATTCAAACCGAAATCTAATGTAATCAATTTTTGCTGTGATTATGTATTATTTGAAAGGCTAGTGGTTTCTTTCAGAATTCTAATTGAAGAAATAAAAATTTATTTCTAATATTAAATACATATTAAAATCTGGAATTTATCACAACGGGCAGAATTTCATGAAATCCACAATCATAAAACGTGCAGGTTAATCATTATTGTACTAAATACATTATCTGCACTATCAAAAATATGCGTATTTCATCTTAATAATAATTAAAAAAATTATGACATACAACACCACACACACACACAAAAAAAAAAAAAAAAAAAAAAGAGTTGCAAAATTTCTTAATTTATATTTTAGCTGCTTTGAAAATTTAATATAAATTCCCTCCTTCAGTTTGTTTAGGCTAATTAAAAATACCAACAACTAAATATTGGTGCTGTACTTGAAATAAATTATGCGTCTCTAAAAGCATGATTTTAATTTCAATGATATAATTTTATTGTAGATAGTGATAGTCTTGTTTAAAAAAGGGGGGAAGAGAATATCTGATTTTAAAAATATTGGGTTCATCAGGAGCCAAACTGTAAATCTGCTGAATACTAGTAAATCAACCCAGGTTCAGAATCTAATAAAGTAGTATTAGATGGGTATGGGCATTTTCATGGTTTTTACTATGGTTTTACATGAGTTTAAGCCAAATTACCCCCAAAAATGCCCCACAAAGGCATCATTTCCCTTAAGAATATCCCCTCCCCAAACCATCCACAGATGGTGGCCACTGCTAAGGCCAGAAGGAGTGGTCACTTTATTATGGAGACATTTAATAGGTCGGCCAGCTTTGCCTCCTATTATGGGACGGACAAATACAACCATGCCTTCTCCTGGATTCTAACCCAAGCCCTTTGGTATCGCAGTTGGCTCCCCTAACCACTATACTGTCTGGGCAGCCCTTAAAAATATTTATTATTATTATTTTTGCAGAACTAATAATGTTTTCAATTTTGTATAAAGAGGAAACCATAAAACAAGTATTATGTTTACCTTTTTCCTTTAAATGAAATGTGAATTTAATTTACATATATATATTAAAAAATAACCTGTTACTAAAGAGATAGGTTTTGAAGTCGCTTTTCTACATTAATAATATAAAATTGGGTAGGTGAATAATTAAATCTGGATTGTTTTTATATAAAAGGCTTATTGTATATGATAAGGTATGAGATTTGACATACACAAAATTAATAATTATCCTTGAATTATAATTATATGAGATTTTTATAATATTCTGGAAATATTCTTAGTTAATTTTCACCATTTTTATTGTAGATAATCATTATATATTTATACCTTTTAATCTTAATTTGTAACTATTCTTATTAAGCCTTCAAAAATTCTTTTAAGCAAATCCTTCAGCTCCCATATGTGTCTAAGCCTATTTTACATTGTTTACAAGTGGCAAAAAATTAATTCTGGGGAGTAATTTTCCAGGCAGTTTCCTTTTCTTTTTTTGGGGGGGGGGATTTACATCAATTTACCCTGTAAGGGAATGAGAGGTGAATATTTGAAATGTTAGAGCATCTACATTTTTATAATATTAGCATCTCCTAAAAGTATCTGTTTTCTCTTAATTGCCGAATAATAGTGACTGAATGATCTGGTTAGGTTGCATTGCTGAATAGTCAGATGAAAATGGTGTAATTTTCAAGCATGGAAATACTATCTTTAGCTTTTTTGAAATCCATGCCAATGTAATTAATGGAATTGTAAATTAGTACTGAACCTTTGTTTGATTGTAGAGATATGACAACTTTAATTCTAAGAGAGAAAACTATTCAAGCGAAGTGAGCATTACTGAAATAACTTTTAATTTTCAGTAGACAGGTTAAAAGAGTAATTTATTTTTTTAACTTTTGCAAATGTATTGGGGTTTGATATGTCTGATATTAGCAGTCAGCCATTTTTTACAGATCCTTTAAAATATGCAAATTTTGAAATTTGTCTTACATATGCTGGTCTTCCCTGCAATTATTTATTGTACTGGCTCGGATTTATACCTTGGCAGTCTCGGCACTGGGCGATAAAACAATGAGCCTGGAACAAGTGGGTGGAAGCAGGTAATCCTGACTTTGGTTTTCTGGCTGGCCTTCAAGCCAAGGTGAAATAAGCCCTGTGTAAGGCCCAGTGGTGGACATCAGACTTCTCACATAGTACTAGTAGGAGCATGTTGACAACTATTCAAACTTCCGTGTTCTCCACCACTATGGTCTCTTGAGTGCTGAGTGTGATGACCCCAGTTCCAAGTGCAGCAGTGGATTAGAGAGAATTTCATTAAAGTCTGCCATTTTGGATTTTAGGCCCTGGGACATTAGCATGATTAGCATACTTCTTACCTCCCAAAGAGGACTTTTGACTGGATGACCCACCTCCCACCAAATACAGAGGTTTCTGAGATGAGCCCAGTCCATGTAATGCTTGACGCAATTCAGATAGGGGAACATGTACTTTCTACTTACTTACTTACATGTGATGGTGGGGGAGGATCTAAAATATAATTGAAATCTCTTACAGAGGCTATCATTTATGAGATTTATTTTCTAAATGATTATGATATTGATGAATATGAAAACCCAAATCTAGCAATTTGCAGGTTCTAGAGATTCATCCAGTTCTTGCACCTGCTTAAAAGCTGTAGGAATTTTTGTGGTAATGTTTACAAGCAGATCTTGACAGTTCCCCTTGCTATTGAAGCCTGAAATACCAGGTTGGAAGAGAAAATGGTCTTTGTTGTCTTCCAGGCTATTCTTCATGCTTCCTAGTTTTAACATAATGGTGGCCAGAGTTAATACTAATCTTGGATAAAGTTTGAAAAAAGCAGCTTCCGTTTTATCATTTAACAAATATCTTAGACACAGACTTAAAAAGTTGAAAAACTGAAACCAAATTATTATTCTATGCTGAATTATGTAATATTTGAAATATCTGTCATTTATTATGATAAGCGCAAATAATAAAAATTTTCAGTAAAAGGTATTATAAATTAATTATATCAGTAAGGTTATATTATCAAAAAGTAAATTAAAGATATAAATTATTATGAAGTGGCTTTTTATTACTTTTAAATCTCAGTTTATTAAGTAACTCTAATTGTATTCACAAATTAGTTAGAGATCTTATGCTGCATTGAATAGCAACTTTCAGAGAACTATCTCTTTGCCAGACTGTGTGGAAGATAAAGACATAATGCTTCTTGTAAAGACAACATTTGCAGTAGGCAGGACCGATAAATATTTTATCAAGTTAGCTATTGCTGTGAAAGCTGATATGGTATGTCTGTTCAAACATGCCAAGATACTCTCTTTTTATGCTTTTAAGTCATTTTCTGAGTTTTATTATTCAGATATAAATAAAACAGGTTACTTTTAGCAGTAAATAAATTCACACGAGTGTACTTGTAGTGGGCATATAAAATATTTTTCAGTTTCTATATAGCATATGAAATTGTTATTGTTGTTATTATTATTTATTTTTACTATAAATTGGAGCTAGATAAGCAATACTTACCTATCTTGTGAATTCATGCAGAATTCCTGCATATACAATATGCTATTTTCCATTAGTTTTATACGAGTCATTAAAGCAAATTTGAGCAATTTGTTTATAGCATTTTCCCAGTGAATACCCCTCCTCCCAAAAAACCGTCTTCCATTCAAACATGCTATTATTGTATTTACATTCTGAGAAATAAATTATCCATTTCAATATGACAAGTGTATTATTTAGTCCCTTCCAACACTGTATGCATTTGTTGTGTTATATGGGGGGAAATTAAAAAGTAGTTTTGAATATGTATAATTTGAAACTTACTGTTGAATATCTCTGAACAAGTACTGCCGGACAACTACTATATTACAGTAAAGCCACATAATATCTAAAATCTGGAGACTGGTGATTGAAATTAAATTACATAAATCATCATCTTCGCAAAGTAAATTATCAAAGGTCAAACTCTAGCTTTACACTAAAATGAAATAATATCATCCCTTGACACCTATTCTAGAATCACTGGATCTGTCTACAACTCGAGCAAACAATATTGACTCAAAAAAAAAAAAAAAAAAAAAAACCTGTATCGACAACCATCACAACTTATCGGAGAAAGCCATTCTGTGGTCCTCAGTTGGTGAGCGGGTGGGTCCATTTGACTTTAACTGAAAGGGGACAAGGCTTCAAGAAGCTTTAGACCAATCGCAGTACAGATAAGCGACGAAATTTATAGCATGCGCTGGCTGAGGTTCTAGGAATATTCTCCCATTATTTCACTAAAGTAGTAGTTAAAATATTATTACACTAAAGTAGTAAAATATTATTACACTCCCATTATTACACTAAAGTAGTAATTTGTAGTTCGAAAAAAATGGCACAAAACAGTATTATGACCAACACGCAGCAGAATATGCTGCTGTGTTATGTGAAGGAAAATCCCGTTTATTAAGGGAAAAGTTAACGCAGGAATTTAGGAATAAAGAGTGATGTCGTATACCATGAAAGCAACGGTAAATAGATAAGAGTAAATGAATTAAGTTTACTTAAAATCTTTTTAGAAAAACCAATTTTAATCATTTAAATTTATAATATGATTAATTGCATTACAATCTAATAACAACTAAGTTTTTTTTTTTTTTTTCATGCGTACATTAAAACTGTTTTCACGCAATTTAGTTTACAGATAATATTAGAAAAATATTTCTTTAAGTAAGAAATTAGAAAGAAAAATTTCTTTTCAGGAAAAGAAATAAAATTCATTCGCTATTACAAATGCCGACTGCTGC